GAGCGGACTGTCAGTTGCTCGCAGCACCCCGCCGCCGTCACAGCCGCCTCTGCGCCGTCACCCAGCCGTCCTGCCAGCCAGCGCTATGTTCCCGCCGCCGCAGTTCGATATAAACTTGCAGCCCAACGTGCTGCAGCACATCACCTGCCGGCTCCGGTACAAGGTGGGCTCGCCGCCACAACCCGTCTGCAACGGCTGTGCGTTCGCGGACCAACACCCCGCGGAGTACCGCCACAGCCACACGCTGATCGCTGACGTCGTCGCCCCGCCCGGCTTGGCCGCACGCATGGTGGCCAGTGCATGCGCGGTGTGTCATCAATCGGTGGTGATCGAGCACTCCCTCGCGGCACAGTGCTCCTCCTGCGCCCCTCGCCCAGTACCACTACCCGGTACGTGACAACACGCCGCTCGCCAGGCGACCGCCGGCTGGTCCACCAAGTGACTACGCCCCTGGCCGTCCCGGCCGCCGAGTCCACACCCCGCCAGGCCGCATGCCGCCCTGCCCGCCGGCCGGTCGGTCCTTAGGGTCACCCAAGGAGGCTGCATACCAACACTCTCATCCCAGGAACGTGACATCACGTTAAAACGAATGTGACAAAATGTCACGTTCGTTTGAGCATTGTGTCACGTTTGTTTGGATGTGAATCAGCCCTAAACGAGCGTATTCACATTCAAACGAATGTGACACAATGCTCAAAGGAACGTGACATTTTGTCACATTCGTTTTAACGTGATGTCACGTTCCTGGGATGAGAGTGAAATTTGGTCAAGATCGGACCACGGGAAGTCTTCGGACAGGCGAACGGACGCACAGCTTGCATCATACTATACGCCCGTCCCTCCGTCATTTCCTTTTACAAAAAATACACGGGACGGGCCAAAACCTGACAATGATGAACAGATATTTAGACTTAAAGAAGAGACAAATGAGGGACAAGCAGAAAAGATTCGAGAAGAAACTGGAACTTTAGGGGAGGAATTGCGTTGAAGGACAAAATCGTAAGAAGAGAAGATGGTTATTTGTAAATTCTGTTCACATTTGTTGACGATAGTAAGCAATGTTGACATCTTGAAGTTTTTGCAAGAAGAGGCGAAGAGAAAGAACCGCCAGCATGAAGAACGTCTGGAATTTCTGCGCAAGAAGGCAAAATTATACGACAAGCGTAAGAAATATCTGATTGCTGTGCTATCCACTAGCTTGAAGAAGAAACAAAGAAAGGAGCAACTGAAAAGAATGAGTCATGCTCTGAAGAGAGTTCCTCTTCAGAAAGTGACTCTTCTGACGAGGAGCCAAAGCGAAAGAAACATAAATAAATCTCATGTTTATCAAAAATGGCTTGGAGCTAACATGTATTCCTGTGTTTTTTAAACGGCTACTATCATTTTATTTTTATGTTATATTCAAATGTATAAGTCAGGGTTTTATATTCTATTACTTTCTTAAATTTTATTTCGCAATCCTCAAAGCATCAGCAGTCATAGTTTGTTTGCTTAATGTGCTCACAGTTACTTGCACATGGACAAAACCACAATGAACTTGGAACGCCAATGCTAAGAGGAAAGTGTTATTGAACCTTTGTCTTGTGTCATGCAACTGTGTCTAGTCTCCTAACAAACTTTGCCTGTGAATTGCTGTGATAGTTTGCCTCTTATGTATTTCTTTTAAATACTTTCTTTTTGTGTTGTTCTTTTCATTGTCTTAAATCTAATGGTATGCTGTTGTGTGCTCAGTGTTTGAAGTTCCTTGATATTTTTTGACTGTGAACTGTGGTCAGTGTTTATGCGTTGTGATATGTACTCAATATTTCCTGTGTCTTCCTAGTTTTCATGTTTGTTGCTAAGGCTTTGCTCAGTGTTTGAGCTACTTGTTTTCACCAAATATTTAATTTTGTTTTTCGTGAAGAAAAATTTAATTAAAAATAGTTTTTATACTTTGTTCTTCAGAAACATGCTTTCCCATTTTTGAAACCCATCCTCCCGAATCCTGCGAGTTTTGCCACTACAAACTATAATCTTCAAATTCACGGTATAGTTATTCAAATATTTTAATCTTCAAATTCTGGTCTTCAAATTTCGCATGAATTCAATGAAGTACGTGCCTCCGTTTTCGTTCAAAGTTGAGTCTTCTTGTTGTAAAGGTGTTAGATATTAAGCTAAACATCAGGCTTAAATTTCTTTTTGTTCACATATATCAATTTTGAAACTTTGATCTTCAAATATTGCACATCACTCGCGTAATACTTTCGCTTGTCTTCAAATTCGAGTATTTCTTTTGAAAAGGTTTGAAATTTTTTGGGGCTTCACCCGTCTGCTGGAGTGGGAGTGGGCGTGTTCCGCGGTGGGCGCCACTTCGTTCCGACCATGTACTCCCTGTATTTGACATGAAAAAGCTTCAAGCATTAGACATACTGCATGAGAATTGTTGACATAAAATCACAGAACTTTCACAAAAGACTTAAAATTACCCGAAAAAGAGACTCTCCCTTTCCCTAGGCTTTCTATTTCCACAGAAAGTGCGGCGGTACATTTCAGGGGTCAAGTCTCTCAATTTCCCCTTGACAAGGGTCTGGAGGGCGCTTAATTTGCGCTGGTGTCCAGTCAACTCAAACAATTTCTATAAAAAAAGAAGGAGCACCAGATGAGGTTAGGACAGTCAGAAGTTTACAATCAGAAGCGTGTCGGTGGAGAGAAAGAGGTTTCTTCATTTACCATTTAAAAACATTTTGCACTGCACTGTCACGCTTTTGGTGGTATCGGCCACTGGCCAATCACATCCATAAGAGCCTGGGCCAGGCATGTGAGGAAGACGTTCGTCCCCTTTTGAATTAGAAGTTTGAAATATGAAATTTGAAGACGAAAATTTGAAGACAAATCGAGGATACTCAACTTAAGGTCAATCCGTGATAGAAAACAAGAAGACTGACGCTCTGACGCGGGGCGAAAAGGACGCGGCCTGGAGCCGCCTCCAGGTAGATTTCAATAACCTATCCACGATATTCCACAGAACCGAGGAGACTTTAAAAAACCTGTGGGGGAATTAAAGAAAAAAGCGAGAAAAAGTCAGGCTTTCCAGAAAAGGGAGACGGTGTGCACAGCACAGGTTTCAATTCTCCTCCATCAAGTGATTGTCAGAAAACCAAATATATTCTCTAACACTCAGAATGTGAAGGGCAATGTATTTGATGTAAAGCTTGTACCAAAGAACTGAGACACTCTTGGAGAAGAAGGAGTCTGTAAATACATATTCATTAAGATTCAGTAGTTTTAAGTCGTATTTTAGTTATTATATTTGAGAGCCTCATAGCATTAAGAATGGTTTAGTTACCTATTAGATATTATTACTTAGAATAGGGTGACTTCAGGGGGAATAAGGTTTAGTACCACCCGAAGCACACTAAATCGCCCGATCAATCTGCTGTTGGAGGAAGGTGAGAGCTTCCTCCAACAGCAGCTCAGGGAATTACTGATTATGATCAGTACATGACTTGCTTGGGACAACTGCACCTGGTACTTAAGTCTGGAGCAGGCAAGGAAAAGATGATCACACTGTTGAGAGCCAAACATGAAAAGAGCATTGATGCACTACTGGCTTGCATGTCTGAATGCCCTAACATACATCTGCCCCCATTCGTCCTTAACATTAGGCGGCTGAAAGATTCAGTAGCGGCATTTGCTTGTGCACACATCAACATAGCACTTAGTTTTCTTCGTCCTCTTGGATGTGCAAAATTCATTCTCCATATGAAGGACAGCCAAGCAGTCAGGCTAAACACAATCTGCAGGTTGTTTGACCTGGAACAGTACATGTTCCGGAATGAAGAACCAGAGGAGAAGATATACCAATCACTAATTCTCCTCCATCAAGTGATTGTCAGAAAACCAAATATATTCTCTAACACTCAGAATGTGAAGGGCAATGTATTTGATGTAAAGCTTGTACCAAAGAACTGAGACACTCTTGGAGAAGAAGGAGTCTGTAAATACATATTCATTAAGATTCAGTAGTTTTAAGTCATATTTTAGTTATTATATTTGAGAGCCTCATAGACTCTTCACCACTAAAAATAACTTACGTGTCATAAGGAATGCGTTAGGTCCGCGTTTATAACGAAGTAGGCAACCCGCAATGCATTTTCTGGCTGGAGACACCATGCAGCTTCCTTTGACGTAAACTGCCAATGTCTTCGGCATTTTGGGCAACCCGATTGACTTCTAAACGCCTTCGGGTGTCTCTCGAACACTGAGGCGCTAGTCTACCTTCAGTGGCACTCATAGCACGCTCAGCCCGAATCCTTGGGACAAAGGACTCCATCATTTACTCATGCGTAAAGAGATAAATAATATGCCGATGTCCACTTTGTTGCTCTCGTGTCTAGTGTTTCAAGGTATTTCACTTGCCCCCATAAATTTTTACTCGTTCGGCAACTAATCATTCCCTAGATGTTTGTACAAGCCGGCCAGGACGATGGACGACACGGAAACCCATCTCAGGGATACAGCAGGCGCAAAACTGGTCAGGACAGATCACTGAATGCTAGTTGACGAACGGACGCAAATTAGAACCCACTTCGCGCCTTGCTGGTTATGGCGAGTTTATTGACTACCCGAGGGTGTTTACACATGTCTCTTACATTCCAGCCTTTTTATCACACACTCAATCGAGCACTCAATCCTCCTTACTATGAGCTTCTCCGTTGCTATGAATCCTGGTTTCCGGGCATGCCTTGCATGCCCTGCTTTGAAGGTTTGGCCAGGTCTTAATGGTCTACGGTTCAGTAATTTCATTAAAAATCACTATCTCGATCACAAGGCGGTTACAATTATGCCATCTATTATCATCAATAACGTTTCGGCAACAAGGCACAGTAGAAAACACTAAGAACAGCAAACCATGGTTTGCGGGTTGCCTACCTCGCCCCCCTGAGACCCCTGTGCACCAAATATTGTCCTTAGACTTGCTAAGGGTCTACTAATCCGTTTTAGGTTCCCTTTGAGTCGAAATGGCGGTTCAACAGTTGACACGTACGACGAAAATGCCCTTGGGTCAAATTGGCCCGCTCGGCGCTTTACGGTAATCCGAAAACCCGGCGCTTCTAGTGTTAAACGTTCCTACAGTGACTTTGGAATTTCGCCTTTATCTTACGGTTATACTGAATGCCGTGTCTGAACAGTTTCCAAGGTACAGTGGATGCAGGTTTCCGGGATACAGCGAACGCCGTTCCATCAGGCACAGTGTCTACTGTATCCCAGGGTACGGTAAACACCTTCTTTCGGTAAACAGTGAAGAGTGGCATTAGGTTTAACAGCCACAATCTTCATTATTTCTCTCAGTGGCCCTCCGC